TTTGGTGTACGACCATATGCGGTGACCATGGGTCCTGCTCCTGTGAAGTTTGAGATGATAAATTGCTGTGAGAAATATATATATAAAATATAAATATTAATGATAAAACTGTGTAAGAAATATTAGCTTCCAAACTGACCATAGCATAGGTCGAATTGTAGCTTCGAATATTATCGAAATAATTTTTGGATTTTTATACTCTCGCAACCTGTTGCTACAGAGTATAATAGTTTTGTTCACCTAACGGTTGTTTGTATCACCTAAAACTAATCGAGTTAGATATAGGGTTATATATATAAATGATCAGGATGAAGAGATGAGTTGAAATCCGGGTGACTGTCTGTCCGTCCGTCCGTCCGTCCGTCCGTCCGTGCAAGCTCTAACTTGAGTAAAAATTGAGATATCTTTATGAAACTTATTAGACATGTTTCTTGGTACCGTGAGACGGTTGGTATTGCAGATGGGCGTAATCGGACCACTGCCACGCCCACAAAACGCCATTAATCAAAAACAAATAACTTGCCATAACTAAGCTCCGCAATAAGATACAAGACTGTTATTTGGTACACAGGATCAAATTAGGGAGGGGCATCTGCACTTTTTTTAAAAGTGGGCGTGGTCCCGCCTCTAATAGGTTTAATGTGCATGTCTCCTAAACCGCTAATGCTATAATAACAAAATTCACTAGAAGCAAATGTTTTTAGCACTTCTATTGACGGTGTGAAAATAGTTGAAATCGGGTGGCAACTCTGCCCACTCCCCATATAACGGTACTGTTAAAAACTACTAAAAGCGCGATAAATCAAGCATTAAACACGCCAGAGACATTAAATTTTATCTCTGAGATGGTATAAATTGGCTTTATAGGAATCGCTTTCAAAATTAGTCAGTGGGCGTGGCACAGCCCACTTTTAGGTGAAAACCTATATCTTGAGATCTGCTCAACCGATTTCAACTAAATTCGGTGCATAACGTTCAGGTTTCTATGTCATAGTGCGAAAATGGGCGAAATCGGACTACAACTACGCTTACTTCCCATGTAACACCATTTTCAATTCCATCTGATTCTTTCACTTTCCACTATGCAAATCAGGTAACAATGATTATATCGGGGTAAAACTGTGCGTGAATAATGCAATTAAAGTATGCCACCTTGCGGCCAAAAATTGTCTAAATCGAACCAAAACTGTTCAAACCCCTAAGTACTAAATATGTGGACCCCAGTGCCTATAGTTGACCTTCTACCGAAAATATCAGTCAATCCACAAAGAAATCTCAAACGAGTATACCATTTGACTTTGCGAGAGTATAAAATGTAAAGGTTACATCCGAACTTAGCCCTTCCTTACTTGTTTCTTTATATTTTTGATATGAGACCGTCAAATAATGAATAAAAAAAAATAGTTTTGTGTTAATAGTGGAAGATGGACTTTGACCTTATGACAACATATAGTGAAGGAATTTGTTTCTTCGCATTGTAGACTCTGTTTCTCTAAATTGTTGTTATTTTGCACAAAGGCACTCACCAATTGTACCTTTACTGCACGTACTCTCGAATTAAAGAAATAATGCAGAATTAAGATTGTCGAGTTTACACCTTTTAATGTTGACACACTTGTTTTTACACGTTAAACTCTACAGTGTTATAATAATAGCAAGTGACGGAAAACGCTGTTTGAACGCTGTTTCGAGCAGAAAAAACGATGAAAATTCAATAAACTCAGATATCCCGTGTGGGCTCGATGGTAGCAATCGAAGAAAAAAAGGCCCGGATCAAGTCGTCGATCCTTTTTGATTGGGCAGAGAAATTAGGATGGTGTGAGATTAGGATGGTGTGATCGTATGTGGTGTGTGTTGGTTTCCCTCGGTGGGTGGTGTGGATATATGTATTGGTGTGTGGTGTTATCGGGAGTACATCGATACTCTGTTTAGCTCGGGACGCTGGAGTAACCCCAGGTACCGGTATATTGATAACCGACCGGGTGCAGTCGTTGGCGTAGGTACACTTGTGTCCATAGTTATCTGTGTAGAAAAAGTTCTTGAGTTTTATACAGTTGTTAGATATAAGTTGAAGTGAGCATTCTGAAACTTTTTGTGGCATGAAGGGGTCATCATATTGATCAACCCGTTAGATTATATACCTATATATACGGATTGTTGTCGAGTTTACGATATAGTGTCTTTGCGTTTTTTTGTCGGTTTATTGAGTCGGTTATTATTTACGTTTTCGGGACTATTATCAATTTATCGTTTATCACTTACCTTGCCGTTATTATCTGCGGTAGAAAGTACAGCTTCACGAGCGGTCTGGTCAGCTTTCCACTTGGGGTACGGAAATCAACGACTCGTATATAACCGTCGGAGCCGTAAAGAAGCTTTCCTATCAAACCGTCATTCGATAGGATGTAGACAATCATAATGTATGATGACACATTCTACAAATTTTGGCGCTTGTTCAGAAGTCTTCCAACGGTATATTTGATGGAGATCCTTTATATATTCATCATTCCATCGGCGGCTGAAATCGTGTTGGAGAATTTTAAGTATTTCCCATGGATTTAATAAGGATAGCGACTCCACGCCTGGCTCAGGTATGGCCAGAATGGATGCTCCTTTGAGAAAGTGCCCTGGAGTTAAGGCTGTGAAATCTGAAGGATCTTGCGAGAGAATTGTAGTAGCCGTGAATTAAGAATGGATTCAATTTAAATTAATAATGTAGTGAATACATAATTTTTGATTTTCAGCTTCCTTTCTGAAGTGGGATTTGAAGCTTTTTACAGTTGATTCTAATAAACCACCCACATGAGGAGCGCTTGGGAGGAGATATTTCCAATTAATGCCCTGAGCGCGTACTTTTGTACAGTCTCAGGTAAGACTTGTTTGATAAAGTCCACAAACTTTTTTTCGATGGCTAGTTGAGCGCCGATAAAAGCTTTACTATTGTCGCTCTTTGTCTGCGATGGAAAGCCACGTCGTCCGATGACTGCTTTCGTCGTAAAACACATAAAGAAAGCCACTTAACCTATCATCAGAGTGGGAGACCTTAACATGGACTCCTTTATCTGAAAAGGCCCAGCAAAATCGACACCTGTGATGGAGAAAGCCAGAGAGAAGTTGCAGCGTTCCAGTGTTCGCATCTTCTGCTTATGCGTAGTGCAGGAATATAACATTTTTGGCGGACCATATGTTGCATAAGGCCATTTTCGGCATAAATCATTAGTATGTGGATATAACTGATGAGTAATGTGACAAGTCGAGACTTCTCTGGCCGACCATGCACACGAAGAAGACCACACTAAAGGTCTAGGAATGGGTTCAGAACTAAGAGGGGACTTTTATCGATAGGTTTTGATTCTCTCAATAGTGATATATTGTGGCTGGACTAGCTCGCTTGAGTATATGCGATAAAAGCGAACTTTTTAAAAGTCTAAGTGCGTCGCTATCGCATTGGAAGTTTGCTGAACCCTTGACTCTGAAGGCTCGAGGAAACGATGAAAATCGTTCAAGGATGTCGGTATCAACTAGTGTTGTATGAAAAATGTCTATTTTTCGACTCTCTGGGGCAATTATATTGCTCATGGGCGATTGTGGTCTAGAATCAGGAGATTCTATTAACCACCGGGGGCCATTCCACCAGACGGTGGTGGCAAAGTGCAGGGTTTACACTCTCTTGTACCTAGATCAGCTGGATTGTCAGTACTGGCTACTTGCCGCCAAGTGGCTGATCCTACTAAGTCAAGTTTTTGAGGCGTTCGATTGGAAATATACGTCTTCCATACATGTGGTGGTTCTTCTAACCAAGCCAGTACAATTTTGAAATTGGGCTACAGATATATTTTGGTAATTTTAGTAGTAGCACGCCCCATAGTTTAAGTCGTGGTAGACTTATTGTTCTTAGAAGAGCCACCTTTGCTTTTGCTACTAGTTAGTGGCTTGTGATCACAATGTCGCTTTGTGTGCGAACATATATAGCGGCGCAATATGCCTTTTCAGAGGCGTCATAGAAGCCGTTTAGTTCGGCTTTGTGCTCTGGAGCAAATTTTACTTATCGTGGGATTTGTATCTGAGAAATGTCGTCCAGATTGTTTGGGAACTGAAACAATTTTTCAAACGAATAGGTTTTACTTGTTCGTCCCAGTCGGTTCCGTCTAGCCATAATTCTTGTATCACGATTTTCGCTTGTCTCATAATTGGCGAAATCTATCCTACGGGGTTGAAAGGTTATGCTCCAGAGGATAAAATTTGGCGCTTTGTTATGGCAGAAATTGCGGATGCTGACTGTGTAGTGTATGAAAACTGGCCAGATATTGCATTCCATTGCAATCGTTTGGGTTTTTAATGCCTTTGAACAGCATGGTGCTTCTTGGCAATTTTAGGGATTTCGCACTTCAGGATTTGCTGTTGCAACTAAACCCGTGACTTTTTTCATATTTGCGCTGTTTGGGAGTCAGCTGGAAAATGAGCTGTAATAAAGCATTGAATGATGTCGTTTATGACAATAAACGCAATTTAATTTGCTTTCGCTTGCGCATGTGACAAGCAGTTTGTACAAAGTCTTTTTTCTTTTTCAAAATTGTTTCGGTCGTATTCAATTTCTTGAATCTCTCCCAAGATTTGAGCTCATGCCCCTCTGTACATAGTTCGTACGACGGTTGTTCGTACTGTTCGGATGTGAACGTTGGATTTTTGAAGAAATTACCATTTAAATTATTGCTGCTACTGACTTGGGGTCTATTGAGGTCGTGTTGAATACTTTTTGGTTTAGTTTTTTTTTTCTATCCTTTCTGAGATTTCATACTGGGTAGTTAGGAAATCTTTCATTTGTTGCGGTATTTTCATCTTAATGAGAGCGATTGCTCCCATAGAAATAACGATTTTTCTGATAACGCTACGGTGCCTTTATTTACCAGAATCTCGTCCCAGCTGTCTGTGGGAATGTTTTGTGTCAATAAAACCGACAAACAGTTGGAAGCAGTCGATTGAAGTCTGATAAATTTCTCAATTGTATCCTTTTGAACTTTAGGTAAGTTTATTAGTATCGTTACTTGCTTATCGACCAATATTCTTTCATTTTCATATCTTGCTGTTAGAGTTTCCCTATCCAAATTGAAATTGGCGTCATTAAGTGCGAACTGTTTTACTATTACGCCTGCTTTGCATTTAGTTTTGTATCTAATAATAATAACCCAACAATTACCCTCCTCCCGCCAACCGCCGCGAGGGGCGCAATCCGCATACGTGCAGAATTAGCCGAGTCAGAAAAGGCAAGAGAATTTTTTAAGTGTTGAGATCTAAAACTGCTCAGCTACAGAAACAAAAATTTCAACAGCTAAGATTTATAGTTAGAATATAATAAATTGCTACATTTTCATTCATTAAATTTTGAAAAGTGAGTCAGATAAGTCAAATGTGCTGGAATGAGAATTAAAATCATGACATATACGGCGGAATGGCTCGTTTAGTTCAAGAATTGATCTACAGGATTTTAACAGTAAAGGTTTTAACTGCCTCGAAAAGCGAATCGGGATATTAAATTTAATTTCAGACAGGAGAAAAGAACTGCAAACTGTTCCATTCAAGATTTTTACTAAGAATATTATGCCAAGCATTTCCCTACGACTAGAAAGTGTAGGTAGATTAATAAGTTTTAAACGACTAGTGTATGGAGGTAGACTTACCCTAGAATCCCATCGGAAATGCGCTAAGGCGAAAAGTAAAAATTGTTTTTGAACAGACTCTAACTTGTCAGAATCGATTTGCTAGTTAGGGTTCCATACAACAGAGCCATATTCCAATATAGGTCTAACCAAAGTTGTATAAAGTGTTTTAGTAATATACGGATCTCTAAATTCTTTAGACCAACGTTTAACAAAACTGAGGACAGCTTTTGCTTTCAAGACCATGGTGTCAATATGAAGACAAAAATTAATCTTAGTGTCCATATTAACTCTCAAATCAACATAGTTAAAAACTTGCCCCAGAATATGGTGTTTTATTACATAAGAAGAGGGCTGCACAGATCTACGGGAAAAGCACATCGTCTTACATTTATTCAGATTCAATGGCAAATCATTTCTATCACACCATGCAACCATATTGTTTAAGTCTGTTTGCAACAGACACCTTTCCTCAGTTGAAGTGTATGATTTAAAAAGCTTTACGTCGTTAGCGGGCCAAGATGACTACCTTGCGGAACACCTGAAGAAACATTAATTGTATCTGAAGGTGTATCCTCAAATTTCACTCGTTGTGTTCTATTATAAAGATAGGAAGCTACCTATTGAAGAAATCTTGGCTGAAAGACCAGCAGATCAAGTTTATGTATGAGAATCGAGAGGTTTACTTTATCGACAGCTTTGCTAAAGTCTGTGTATATAACATCCGTATGCTTATGTTCCCTAAACCCCAATGCTACATTGTTTACAAGTTCAAGCAAGTTTGTTAGAGTCGATTTCCCTTTACGAAATCCATGCTGAGATGAGGAAATTAACGGAGAAATCGATTATGGTCAGTAATGATAGCTTCAAAAAGTTTAGGTATAACTGATAGTTTTGCGATGCCTCTATAGTTTTCAATGTTGGATCTAAATTCACTTTTATGCAAAGGAATTATAAATGACTGTTTCCATATTGAAGGAAATATACCGTGTTTAAGAGAAGAATTAAATATCCTTGTCAAAGGCAAGTAAATATATTTGGCCCTATTTTTTAGGAAGCATGAGGGTATCATGTCTGGACCGTAACTAAAAGATGGTTTTAACTTATTTAAATTAAGTAGGACGTCTTCTTCAGAAATAAATGGAGCGTTAATTAAAGTATTCGAACACAGAACTTGCTGATAAGAAAAAGTTTTGGAAGAATTATTACAGTAGTTTGACTTGAAAAATTCTGCAAACATATTGGATATAATAACATTGGCAATTGAAATGATAGATTTGTATTTCATTGCGGACGGAAATTTGGAAATACTGCGTTTGAAGTTGACGAAATCATAAAACGATTTTGGATTACTTACAGCATTCTTTTTTACTTTATTTAAGTGATAATTATAACATTTTTTGTTTAGGTCAAAGTATTGTCGACGTAATACAGAATATTTAGAATAGTCGACAAGTGACCCGTTTTTTTTTAAATGTTTAAAGGCTCGAGTTTTTCTGTTATTAAATTTATGTAACTCTTTCGACGACCACGGACTTCTACTTTTACTTTTATTAACAATTACTATTGGAGCATACTTTTCAAATTATTTCGTAATAATGTTATTAAAACGAGAGACACTCAATTCAATATCACCATTATAAATACCTAGGCCATGATATTGTAGAAAGATTTAGCTTTTGCAAAGTTGAACCGAGTACGGAAGCACGAAGTTTGGTAATTATTATCACGTACATTGCTCATGATTTCGACAGATATTTTCAAAGCAGGATGATACGAGTCCTCTGGTGGAACAAGAGGATTACTCTGAATAACGGAACACTTTGAAGACGTATAAACTTATACTAAATCTAAGCATTTACCAAATTTATTCGGAATCAAATTAATTTGGTTCAGACCCAACTCGGACATTTTTTCGAAAAACTGATGAAAACATGACCGATTGCAAATCGGTACGATATAGTCATCGAAAGCTTTCCACGAAGCCCACGGTAAATTGAAATCTCCTAATACGATTATTGAATCTGCATTATTTGCCATCGAAGTAGCACTATTTATTAAGGAAGCATGCTGCATGTATACAGATAAGTCCGAATGGGGTGGTATATAAGAAAGGGTTAAATAAATAAAGCAACTATTAACATAGACTCTAATACATTTAAATTCTAATGGGTCGGTTCCTGGAACAAGAACATCTTCAGATGAGATAGAGGAATGTACGGCAAATAGAACACTTCCACCGATTCTGTTCAGTCGATCACATCTAAAAATTTGAAATTCGCTATTTAAAATTTCATTATCAAAAATGTGAGGTTTTAACCATGTTTCTGTAAATCCAATTATATGGAAATTAAAATTGGAACTGTTTAAATACAAGTCGGCTAATTTTGTATTAAGACCTCTAACATTTTGATAATAAATGCTTAGCGAATTTTTACCAATCAGTTTTTTATATTGGTGGTTGCTTTTGGTAATTTAGCAATATTTTCCTCAGTTTGACTTCTAAGTTTAGGCTTAAATTCGCGTACAAAAGCCCCAGGTGGGCAGAATGAACTATCTAAGATCTTTTTGAATGTTTCAAGAGATACGTCTATTTTAAACGATGATATACTTCTATCATAATTGAAGTTAAATTTACGGATATTGATATCATAAATTTTTAAACGTGACGAAATGTAAGACTTAATGTCCTCCACCAAGGTATCTTTGGCAAGTCTAGAAATAAATATAGACTTTTTAGGTGGAATAACTACCAAATTTTTAATATAATATATGTTACTAAGTTATTAGGGAGAGCATCTGGAATTGTGAGACACTTATTACTATTAGATAGAGCTTTTGGGGAATTGAGCTCTTTGGAAGTTGACGGCTTATCACCTTGATGGCAAGGAGAAGAGAGAATTATTAGGTTATTGGGCGGAGACGTTCTTTTCTGTACAGAAGAGCTAAGTGTTACTTCATCGGAAGGACGTTTACGCTTAGGAGCAGGTTTAGAGGATTCATGAGAATCATTCAGGCACTTAAAAGATTTGAACAATTTTTCGTAGTGTCTAAATTTTTCAGTGAGGGTTACAAGATGTCGACCGATTTCTTAGGTGATTCACTTTCTGCGCGCTTTCTAATTTTAGATGGTTTATGTAAACGGTTGTAAACATGTCCCGGAAGGACGGCCATTGTTCATAACCACCATGAAAAATGTTTGTGTCACATGCGGGCAGCTTGTTATGCATGCCTAAACTTGCGTTTCAACAATGTAAGCTCCACTCTCGGCTGTAGATGCAATTGCTTTAATTAATTTAAATTGGTCGGAAATCATTGCTTTCGTCTTCAAACTAATTTAAGCCGTTTTCGTATTTGGCGCAAGCCGAAATTTTTAAATTTTTCCGTAAATCTGAATCGTCATATTCTACGATTGCGTCACATGCAGCTTGAAGACGTGTTCAAAAATTGTCTAGATTTTCTTTTTTATTTCTAATACCGATTCGGAATTCTCTTGAATCGGCGAAGATGAAAATCGAGTGCAGTATCGTATTAAACTGTCACTCTCAGCAATGAATTTGGTGTATGAAAAGTCTTTACCCCTATTTGCTTTGTATCACCTTTCTTTAAGTGTGTAGCTTCTGCAGGTGTACATGGACTTTTATCATCTGAAATCGTCTGTGGTACTTTTAGCAACTGATATGTTTTTGATTATTTTGAACCTGAGCTCATTTAAAAAGTATGTCGAAATAAATTACAATAAAAATTTTTCCGTGTCAGAAATATATGTGTATGTTTGAAAAGTAAGTAAATAAGAGTTTTTTACTTTGAATAAAATCTATAAAAATACGCGTGTTTAGTTATAAGTATACATACCTATGTATACCGTTTCATGTACTTGTGTAGTTGAGCTCGTTGAAGAGATCAACGCACTTTGTACCTATGTATGTACGAATTGTATTGTACTTTAATGTTTGTCCTGCTTGTTTTTGCAAGGAGTATTGCGGAATATATGCCAATGAGGACTTTGAATATAAATTGTACAAACGTATATGAACCAATATGTATGTATGTAAAATTTTTAAACTATACGATTTAATTTGATATTTATTAACAATTGTATGCTTAATTTACATTATTTCATTTGAATGTTTGCTTAAGAACTAAGCTAAACTCTCGATAACAACTTCTACCTTGACTCTTTTTACTCATATCGTATGAGAGCGTATTAGATATATTTATGATTTGAGTGAGTGTAGCAATGTCACTCCTATCATCTAAAAATATTGCAATGTCCTCATTGCAGTTTTTTGTTTTTATTATTTACAAAATGTGTATTGCAGTTTTAACAAATTCATATAATTTTCAATAATATTACTAAATTTTTTTTTTTTTTGTTTTACAAAATACTTAAAACTATTAATTATAAACATAAATCAGTTATACATATTTTTTCTTTCTTTTAAATTGGCTTTTGTATTTTCTTACTTTCCTGTTTTTAAACTTTACTACATGATGTTCCCCATCAGATTCGGTTTGAACAAGCCGTACTTTTTTATAAGGGTTACTAATCTTATCCAATCTTTTCTCAGAGGTTTCGGCGCTAACAAAATTC